CACACACACACACACACACACACACACACACGTCATTCATGTACACACACCTAGGTAGATGTACAGCATCTCCTGCTGACCCTTATCATAAGTATCTGTTGATTAAACGGGATGGTCTGTCCTGGGGTACCTGAGCAGCTATCAGGCTAAGAGCAGTTCAAAGCGAAAGACCCCTGCAGCAGGCTGGGCGTGGTGGTGTGTAACTGTAATCCCAGCTATTTGGGAGGCTGAGCAGGAGGACTGCAAAAACAATTAAAAAATAAATGTAAAATGGGCTTGGGATGTAGCTCAGTGGTAGGGTGCCTCTGGGTTAAAAAGAAAGGCACATACGACACAGTTCAAGCAGTGTAAAGGGAGTGAAAAGGGGCCTCCTGGCTGAGTGATCTCAAAAGAGCCCACTCTGCCTGTGCTCCTGCATCTTCTCCTCATCTGCAGAGGGGGGCTGGGCACACCCGGCAGGTATGATTCATCACAGGGAAGTTCAACAAGAGAACATTCGGAGGCACCCAGCACGGGGCCATGCACAAGGGCTACTCAGCCAGCGCTGGCCCGGTATCTTGGGTATCTTCGGCTGGTCCAGAGGCACACACACTCAGAATCACTGCAGTCCAAGGATAAGCACACACTCTCCATTTTCTTTTTCTTTCTTCTTTTTTTGTACTGGGGATTGAACCCAGGGGCACTTTACCACTGAGCCACATCCCCAGCCCTTTTTATTTTGAGACAGGTCTAAGTTGCTGAGGGCCTCACTAATTTGCTGAAACTGGCCCCAAACCTGCAATCCTCCTGCCTCAGCCTCCTGAGTTCCTGGGATTGATTACAGGTGTGTGCTACCGCACCCAGCCTCAGGCTCCATTTTCTAGCACTATTTTTTTTTTTTTAGTTGTAGTTGGCAACAATACCTTTATTTTATTTATTCATTTTTATGTGGTACTGAGGATCGAACCCAGCGCCTCGAATGTGCTAGGCAAGCGCTCTACTGCTGAGCCACAACCACAGCCCCAGACCCATTTTCTAGCATTTTTCAAACCTCTTTGGCCATGACCCATGGTAAGAAATGGGTCGTATGCTGGGACCCAGCATGAACAGACTAACACGGTTCCACCACTACAGGGAAAGATCCATGACTCCCTCCTGACAAGGCGCACCTGAGACTGACCCCTTCAGCTCTTCCTAGACCATCTCTACACTGAACTCCACAGGTCAGTTGGAAAAGCCTTGTCGCCACTCACCTAGAGTGTCAGAGCCGCTCTCCACGGTTTCGTTGACCTTCCGTGCAACTCTGGCCACGGCCTCACCCATCTTCTTCAGCATGCAGACTGGGGTGTCCCGCTGCCAGCCCCCAGGCCGGTCTGCTGCTCACAAAGGGGCCTGTGCCTAGAGGAAATGCAGGGCCATGAAGCACCATCCTGCTGGGGCTCGCCCCATGCACCTCCTCCCCAGGAACCCAGGCTGCCAGGAAGCCTACAGGGGGCCTCAGGCCACTTACCTCCTCTCTGGAACTCAGAACCCAGGCCACAGGCAGCTCAGCCTTTGGAAGAGCTGATGCGCCTGTCAGAGGGTGAGGGCAGCTGGGCCCTGCTGCTTCTCTGGGAGGATCAACATGTGTGACCTCATCAGACACAGGGCCCGGGCCTGCATCAGTAGCCAGGTGGGTGTAAGGACTCAGATGTGCACTGGCCTGTGACTCAACTGGTGGGGCACCAAGGAGGAGGCAGGACACAGCCAAGGGCAGGGGAAAGACACCTGTCCCTCCATACTGCGACCTCTGAGTCAGGGCTCTATGTGCACAATTGCTCCAGCTCCCCGGTTCACCCCACCCACATCTGCCAGGCTCCCGGTGCACGGCACGAGGTGGAGACTCCAAGGCAAATTGGAGCTCAGTGTGACAGGTGGATGGGTCTCTAGAAATTGCCTCCCCAAGTGCCAACAGGAAGGGAAGGTTACAGCATCAGCCTGCAGACCTGATTATCAGACTGATGCTGGGTTGGTCTCCAAGAAAAGGGGGAGGTGCTAGAAACGAGAGAAGGGGACCTGATCGCCAGGGAGGACGCCTTTGAGAAGGGTAAGGGAGATAAAATAATAAGGTATTAAGATATAAAAATGTCCTCAACCCTCTGCTTATTACTGAGAAGGAAACTAAGGCATAGGAAGTGGCTAAGTGGCCTGAACAAGGTCAAAGGGAGTGAGTGACAATGACTAGGCCTGCTCCATATTGATAACAGCAGCACCCCACAAAGAAAGAAGGAACTTGAGGTCAAGGTCTTTGTCCCTAGGCCCCAATCCCAGCTTCCCAGATAACTCAGGGATTCCAGGGAGCTTGTTCCGAGGGCAGATGGGAAAGGGAGGGAGACAGTGCTCAGAGCTGCTGGCAGACCCAGAACAGTGCCCATGGGCTCAGCTGGAAAAGCAGAGCAAGGCCAAGCCCATCTACCTGCCCAGCAGAGTCAACGGTGTTCTGCATGTGTGTGTTTCACCAGTGAGGCTGACACTGAAGGCCAGAGACACACGGGTGCAGGGGGAAAGCCTGTTTGATATGTCCAACTCCACCATTAGTAGCTAAGACAGCTTGGGAGAGTTTTTTAACTACTCTGAGCCCCAGTTTCTTCTAGTAGGTCTAGTAATACCCACCTTGCTGAGTTAAACACAATTGAACAAAATCTATAGATCTACCTGAATACTCCATAATTCCAGTTGAGAGGATAAAGCAGCACATGGGCAGACATGGCAGCAGCATCTAATCCCAGCTCACTGCCCAAGCGAAACTGAGCAAGTCATCTCTGAGGAATGAGAATTCCCATCTCTCCACCTCCAGGAAGTCTTCCCTGATTGCCCCAGCCCTCAGTGTTCTCTCTTCCCTGTGAGTTTCCACAGCACTTAATGACTTAGCACAAGTCATCTGGGTTGCTTTTGAGCTTTTAAAAACCAACAGACACACACACATACAAACATACACATTCAACTGGGCATCGTGGCACATGCCTGTAATCCCAGCTACTTGGGAGGCTGAAGCAGAGGAAGTCCCAGGAGTGGCAAGCTCTGAGGCCCAGTGTTGTGGGTCAGAGGGAACAAAAAAGCCTAAACAGGATCAACATGTAAAGTCTGAGTGTCAGAATAGTTCACTAGGAAGAAGGGTTTCTAATATTCCAAACCATGCTCTGAGCACAGCACAAAGGTGCCCTAGATTTCTAAAGGGGATCTAAAATCATCACTTAAAATATTAAGGGCTTAAAATCACCACCCTTGGCTAGGAATCACCCTTCCTTCACCTAAAACTTCCTTGTCCCCCGACAAGGGAGAATTAAGTCCATGGGCAGTCCCTCTCCAAAGCCAGAGGACAGAGAGAGGCAGGGCTGCGAGATGGAAGGGTGACAGGATCCCATGTTATTCGGGGCCCAGTTCAGGGTCAGAGGGGTCCAAACGAACAAACTTGGGATAATGAGGAGCTGGACTGGGCCTCTGGGACTCCAAAAGGGCATGGACAAGATCAGCCAAACACAGAAAATTGTCCAAGTCATGCAAGTGGCAGAGAGCTGCGGGCCTACTCTGGACTGAGGGCAAAGCACCTAGGCAAGGCTGCCCCTAGGTTGTGGGGGCCCCTGTCTAGATAAATAATCTGAGTCAACAACTTACAATCTGCATGTCAGCACCATCTGAACAACTGGCACTTAAGGCAGCCACTCCTGGAACCAGAACCCTACCACAGGACTCCAGGACACCCCATAGGCCCAAGTGTGGAGCTCCCTGAAGCATCTGGTCATCCCCACGTGCAGGAGTGGTGATAGCAAGGAGTCAGAGAACATCCCAAAGGACAGAAACAGTCATCATCAGCACTCATGGGTTTAGCCTAGGCATGGAATGTTCCATATAGATGGTGCTACCAATCCCAACCAGTTCCAGGCACTGGAAGGGGCTTTGGACAATGTCAAGAAAGCACTCCAAACCCCAGAGACCCCTGGACATAGGGTCTTAGCCCACACTCACACTGCTCCTGTCCCCATATGGTCCTCTCCATACCGCCCAACTCCCCTTTCCTATGAGTGGGCACCATGGTCCCAGGATATGTTTAAATCCAATGAACATCTCGTGGGGACCTTCTTTAAGGCACACACTGAGAAGTAACAGGACAAGGACAGGGTATGGGCCAGAACAAGCTTCCCACCAGGAGGCAGAATGAGCCAGATGCCACTGCAGCTATGATGCCAGGCCCAAGGGACCTCAATGAAGGCATAAGGCAAGGTATGAGCACCAGCTACACAAAGAGATGCAGGAGAGAGGGAGCCAGGCCACCACCCATCTGTTACCAGAATAATTCATGCACAGTTTCCAGGACTGTGAAGGAGCCCCATTTGCAAAATGGAAATACCACCTTCCTTAACTGGTTATAAAAATACCTGATACAGCACTTTTGAGAAAAGACTTTACAAACCATGAAGTACTTCCCATATGAAGGCATTTCCAATGATCAAATAGGTGTAGACAGGAAGTTTGAATATAATAAATTGAATGCCAGAAAAAAAAAATCGTTGACTTTGTGGGAACTGGCAATACTGGCTATCAGCCTACATCGGAACCTGGGTTCATCTCAATTCAAAGCTGGGGGTGGGGTGGGGTGTACTTAAACCCTGACAGTGGTCCTCTGACTCAGCCCTTACCAGCAAAAACTACCTTTTCTGCAGTCCGAAGAACTCTGCAAAGGAACCATTGCGACACCCCCATCTGCACCAGCTGCTCCTATATTTAGTTACTGGTGTGGTCAATTGGGAATTTTATAGCCTGGCAGCCACTCCGAATGACAACCTGAGCCTCCTCAGCCATGTGTTTCGAGCTGCTCCCACCCATGGCTCTAGCCAGTTCTCTGGATGGTGCCAAGCTAGGGAACGGGTGGGGAGTTGAAGGGCAGAGGACTTGCTTGGACCCCACTAGCTCCAAAGGCCCACTCAGGCCAGTACAGAGTTGACCCACTTTCACACCCGGGGGAAAGAGCCTGTAGGGCTGGGAACGGGACGCCTTGTTTTTTTGTGCCACGGAGGAGACCTGTGCGAGAGCTCCCTTATGGACTTCGTGACATCCTCGGACTGCACCTTCCAGGACTGCACTGTTGGCCAGGCAGGGGCCCGCCTAAGCCGGATGCCCTCTGTGACTCCTGGTCCCGGGCCCACCGCTTGCCCGGCAGACGGGGACTGGAGAAAATAAAGCAAAGGACTGAGGCATCCCCACAGCGGCCGTGGGGCCAAGAGGCAGCTCCAGAGCAGGCATCTGCAGCTCTCCAGGGCGGAAGCAAACCCCGAAATTGTCACTTGGGGACGAAATACACAGTAACCTCTCCCAGCTCAGGCGCCTCCCCAGGGGAACGGAAGCCCGTCCGGGAGCGCGTCCCCAGGTTCCCTTTTCCCTGGTAGCGTTGCACCCACTCCCCATGAGCTACTGCGATGCAGTCGCTTTGTGCAAACAAGAGCCGGCGCCTCCTGGCCAGTTGGCACCGCAGGAGCCGCTGCCGGTGCGCCGCTGCTCTATTCCACCGGGTGACCTGGGGGAGGGGCAGGGAGGGGACGAAACATAAACCGGGGTATTTCTCTCCCTCTCTCCCCCAGCCCCTTCAACGCTTGGCTTCAATACTACGTTTCCTGTGCGGGGCACGAAGCGTGTGGCCCGATTCCGGACCGCTTTCGGCTCCACTTACGGCGAGAATGCCTCCTAGCGCCCTGCGCAGCGCAGTCACGCTCCCTCGGCTACCGGCGGCGCCCCATGCAAGTTCCGAGCCCGCAGGGCGGGGCGCGCGGGGCGGCAGGCTCCGCGGTAGCTCGGATCAGCCAATCAGCGCGCCGGGACAGGCGCCGGGGCGGGAGCGGGGGCCGCGCGCACCCAATCAGCGTTCCCTCCTCACGCCGCGCGCGCCCGAACGCAGAAAGGAACCGCTTTGTGTGCGGCTTCTGGAGAAAGGAGCGCTGGCGGGCCCCCGCGTGTGGACTCGAGTGTGCGCCGCATCCCGGAATCAATAGAATTGAGGTTTCAGATTTGGTTTTCTCGAGAGATGGACTGAATTAGCCAGATCCCGGGTACTTCGGAAAACGTGAAGTCCAAGAATGGGGAACTTTTCATGTGRGGCTTTCTGCCGCCCATTCAGGTTTTTAGAAATAATAATTCTGGCTGTTATTTCGCCTCTTGAAAGCCCAATGTGTTCATCTATAAAATAGGAATTAAATATATAAATACCTACTTAACAGGGTTACCCAAGGGATTGATAACATCGAATGCTTAACACAGCGTCCAAACCAAGCCATGATCCCTGGCTCAAAGGTCGCTGCCTCACTGACCTTCACTTAGAGAGGGCACCCCATATCCGCTAAAGGCTATGAGGAAAGACGAGAGGGTGCCCTGCCTCGACAGTGAAAATTGGAAAGGCTAAGCCTGTCAAATGCTGCAATAAGCAAAAGCATGTCTTGAGTGTGCTGAGTCCTGAAGAAGTAGTAATTCAGCCTCCAGAAGCTTCAGCAGTCTGACAAGGAACATATATTTCCTTGGAGATTAATGAATGCTATGGGTTGAATTGTGTCCCCCAGAGAAGACTTGTTAAGAGCCTGATCTCAGAATATGACCTTCTTGGGAAATASGGTGATTGCAGATGTAATTAGTTAAGACGAGCTCATACTGGAGTGGAGCACACCACTAATCCAAAACCACCCTTGTTGGTAGAAGAGAAGGGACACACTTCTCAGTGGAGCTGCAGCTGCCCCCCAAGGCTGCAGCCCTGGCCCACCTGGATAGAGGGAGGCCCCCCCCAACTGCAGGGAAGGCACTGGCCATCATCTTGGGGGACAACCCCAGCCCAGTGAGTGAACTGGTGGTGGGGCTACTGCCATGCCCCTCCTACAAACAGTCAGATGTGAGGGTGGAGCATCATGGTGGTCAACAGACTATCCAACAGGTTTTCTGCCTTGGTCACAACTATGCAGGCTTGGGCCAATTGAAATGTAAATTTAAAGTGGGTCCCTACAAGTGGTTAGAGTGCCTATACACACACCAAATGGGCCTTCATCCTGAAGTCCCCAATCACCCTGGACCCTCTTCCTCTCTTCACTTCTCACCCCAGGATTCTCAGTACAGTGTACAAGGGAAGTTGATGTTGTCCTCCCTCTGGACCCACCTGGAGTATTTAGTAGTATAATAATTTTTGATGTTGGGTTCAAAGGGTGAGCAAGTGGCCTATGAAGTCAGTGTCCAGGAGTGTCTGTCGTCTGTGGTATAGATTCACCCAAGACAATGATAGCCCAATATTTGGGTAACACCTATGGAGTTGGCCATAACAGCTAAGGCTTGGTGCAGGGTGCAGACCGCCCCTATCCAGCCACAATGGTGAACATCCATGTATTAACAGGCAAAGGGAGAGCTCAGCTGCTCTCAGGGGCAGCGTATTATTTGAGGAGATTCAGGGACTACCCCTTCAAAGGCACCACAATTACTTTGAGAGTCATTTCTATGGCCAGCTAAAAAAAAAGAAGAGACATGGCACTTATGGCACTTACGATGAGACTGGAATTTTGTGTCAGGCCGAGGAATGCAAAGAATCCTTTACAAGGACTAGAAACAACAGACAAGGAACAGATTGTCCCTCAGATCCTCCAAAAAGGAACCAGACCTATCAACAATTTGATTTCAGACTTCTAGCTTCCAGAAATGTGGGAGAATGAATTTCTCTTCTTTTCAACTACCCAGTTTGTGACAATTTGTTATAGTAACCCTAGAAACACAGTTGAAGCATCCGTAATCCAAAATCTGAAATTCTACAAAATCTGAAACTTTTTGAATACCAACAAGATGCCACAAGTGGGAAATTCCACATCTGACCTCATGTGTTGGGTCACAGTGAAAATATAGATGCACAAAAAAATCAGCTCAAAATGGATCAAAGGCCTAGGAATTAGAACAGAACTATGCAACTCCTAGAAGAAAAGGTAGGGTCAACACTCTGATATATTGGTACAGGCAATGATTTTCTCAGTAGGACCTCTAAAGCTCAGGAATTGATACCAAGAGTTAATAAATGGGATGGCATCAAGTGAAAAAGCTTCTGCAAAGCAAAGGAAACAGTTAGGATTGGGAAGAAATACAGAATGGGAAAAAATAATCTCTGTTACCTACTCTTCTGATAGAGGAGTAATATCTAGAATATATAAAGAACTCAAAAAACTTTCAAAATAATCAAGTAATCCAATTAATAAATGGATAAATGAATTAGAAACTTCTCAAAAGAAGAAATACAAATGACGAACAAATAAAAAATGTTAAACAGGGCTGGGGATGTGGCTCAAGTGGTAGTGCGCTCACCTAGCATGCATGAGGCACTGGGTTCAATTCTCAGTACCACATAAAAATAAAAAATGAAGATATATATAAAAAAGTAAAAGTTTAAAAAAAATGTTAAACATCATTTGCAATTAGGGAAGTGCAAATCAAAAATACATTGAGGTTTCACCTTATCCCAGTCAGAATGGCAGGCATCAAKAATACAAATAATAATAACTGCTGGAAAGGATATGGAGGAAAAGGAACACTTTTACACTGTTGGTGGAATTGTAAATTAGTACAACCACTACAGAAGTCTGTTTGGAGGTGCCTCAAAGACTAGATATGGAACCACCATATGACTTAGCTCTACCACGCCTCGTTATTTAGCCTAAAGAATTAAAGTTATACTACAGTGATACAGGCATACCCATGCAGCACAATTCGCAATAGCCAAACTATGGAATCAATGGATGAGTGGGTTAAGAAAATGTGAGATATCTCTCTCTCTCTCTCTCTCTCTCTCTCTCTCTCTCTCTCACACACACACACACACACACACACACACACACACAATGGAGTTTTATTCAGCCATAAATAAAAATGAAATTATGTCATTTACAGGAAAATGAATGGAACAAAGGAACATCATGTTAAGTGAAATAAATCAAACCCAGAAGGTCAAGGGTCATATGTTTTCTCTCATAAGTAAAAGCTAGAGAGGAAAAAGAAATGAAAGGTATGTGTGGGGAGGGAATCTCATTAAAATCAAAAGGAGAGGGGCTGGGGTTGTGGCTCAGTGGTGGAGCGCTCGCCTAGCATGCACAAGGCACCGGGTGTGATCCTCAGCACCACATAAATGTAAAATAAAGATATTGTGTCCATCTAAAGCTTAAGAATAAATATTTTTAAAAAATCAAAAGGAGATCAGTAGAGGAAAGGGTCCAAGGGGTAAGATTCGAGGAGGAAGAAGGGAAGTACCAGGAAGTGATATTGACCAAATTATATTGTTATATTGTGTGCATGAATGAACATGTAACAACAGATCCCATCATTATGTACATATATAAAGCACCAATTAAAAGTGGGGAACAGATAGGAAAATGAAGATGCACTAAATAGATTGTGTAAGGTACATAGGAAATATAAGTGAATTTTGTGTTTAGACTTGGGTCCCATCCTCAAGATAGCTCAAAGTATGTGCAGATATTAAAAAGAAATCCAAAATCTAAGACTTCTGGTCCCCAGCATTTCAGATAAGRGATACTCAAGTTATATAATGGGTTTATAGGAAAAGGAAGAGAATAGAAATTACCTCTAGAATAAATCTTTCAAAACTAATGCCCAGGATATGCAAGATCCCTGTGCCTCCAGATACAGTGAGATAACTCAGACACAGACCCTACTCTCAAGGAGTTTCTAATTGAGCGGAAGGAAGCCTGAGAAGCTACGGTTTTTTGACCCCTTGAACCTCCCCAGCAAGACTTATGAAGGCCTCCCTGTCTCAATCTTCCCTCCACTCCTCCCACCCCCACCAGATATATACCAAGCACCAAATATAAATAACAAATTGGTAGAGTCAATTTTGCCCAAGCCAAGAGACTTGTTACTCTGGACAAAGCAGACACTGGTATTTTTGTTTCACTTAAAATCAGCCTTAGAGCRCTGGGTATAGCCCAGTGGTAGAGCACTTGTGCCGCAGTCTGGCTGGGCACAAATCATGAGCCACTCAAGCAGGAACAAACTTTATTTCTGAACTCCCACAGCACTCCGCGCACACTCCCCGGGAACTCTCCAGGAACACCACACACCAACCGGAACTCCCTCTCCCGGAACTTCCYCAACCAATGAAGCCAGATTTAAAGTTAGGWAGTCAGTGTAGTTAGGTCGGGTCTAATATCGAGTGAAATCTAAAATGGAGGCCATGCTGAGAATGATTCAGGGAAATGCAGAACAACTCATGGAATGTTAATGAAGTCCAGGAAAAAGCCCAAGGCCAGAGCCCATCCCAAAGAAGTGTTAATGAACAGCCCCCAGCAAACTTGAAGGTGCCGACTCAGAAGTCCTTCCTGCCCAGATTACTTCCTTGGCCCACCTGTGTCCCGCCCCTCGGGCCTTCCCACCTACATTCCATCACTGAAAGAACTATAAAAAGGGGAGACAACCACACTTCCACGGATTCCACCTCTTGGGTCCCCTTCTTCCTCCGGGAGAAGTCTTTTCTGCTGTCCTTTAATAAACTTCTAATTTCTACTCTGACCTTGCCTCGGTGTGCTTCTTTGGTGTTATTTCTCAACATTGGGGAAGCAAGGACTTGTCACCAGTCAACAGCGGTAATACCAACACGAACTCCCCAGGCAATCCTCCAGAGAACTCCAAAGTAGCAGGCACCCAGGCGGACAGTTAAAGGTCTAGTATACAATTGAATCAATCCAGCATCATCTTAATGGCTCGCCTCTCAACCAATACTATTGGCAAAATGCCAGGGGCCATTCCGACTCC